CAGGAAAGATTTTTAATGCTTTCCTACTATCGGCTGCCAGACTGGTGTTTCATTGACTATGATGCTTGAGGTGTGGCCTCATGGAGCTTGATTTTACAGAGGTGATAGTCGAAATATTACATTTAGAGTGCATTTTGCTCATAAAATAGACCACTGCCTCTATTTGGTTAAATTAATAGGTCTTAAATAAGAAGGGTGAGAGGCTTTCTTCTAGAAACATATAAGATCTCCTTAGAGATTGATGCTTCCAAACAGATGTTTGGAAAGTGTTGAGATTCAATTATATATTATAAGGCCTAACGGAGTAGGCCTTATACAGTAGGAAAGGTACAGATCCCAGAGTTGGGCACACCAGGTTCAAATCTCAACTCTGCCTCTTATTAGTTGGAAAGCTGGTAATTTACTTCTTTGCAAAGATTAGGAAGGATAATCTAGCACTGTACCAGCTACACCAGGTTCAACAGGCAGGTATTTAACATGTGAGGGCTATCACTATGGGGGCTTACACTCATGGCCTCCCTCTTGGCCTAAAACAATAATTTTAACTGGAAGAGAGACAGAGGCAAAGAACAGAAATTTGACCAGTTTTTTTAGGTAAACTATAAGATAACCTGTTGAAGGGAAGGTGCAGGTTCTAGAAATTCTAAAGGACGTCATGGAATATAAAACTAAAATATAAGACATTGATAAAGATGAGCAGAGCACACAAGAGCTAATCTCTGGACAGAGCTTGCAGGAAACCTTTTCTTGGCAGGCAGACACCCCAAACACCTGGGACCCAAATTTATTGCGTTATCTTTCTAAAAAGATGAAGTTTGCATAAAGGCTTTTCACTCCTGCTACTCAGTTTTCAACAGCTTCGTATGTCTACCTTTTTTCCAAATCAATATTTTTAATCTTCTCATAATGTGGAAATCTTTATAGCCTTTTCATCATTTCCCCTACTCTGACTCCCTCAAACAATGAAATGTCACTGTTCTGGCATCAATTTCATAAAATAAAGCAGATACCTTTTGAAAGCTTCCTAAAGTCCGCAGAGTTTATGGAAACTTGCATTTTTATCCATTTCAGGAAGCTCAGCCCTAACCATATTTGAAATTTTATCTTCAATTAGAGAAAAATACATCCCTTTTCCAAAGAATAAGTTTCTGAGTGGGTTAGGGTTACTAAACGGTAGGATAATTCTTCCAGTCACACTCCAGCTCTATCCTACCAAACTTCAGCTAGAGTTAAATTTCCACCATTCATCAGGCTGGGGGATTCCGTGAAGTGAGGTCTTTCACAGAGTCCAGGAAGACACAGTGACAGTATTTTGAAGGTATTGGCCAAATGCAAGAAAAAAAGAGATGAACTTTAAAAAGTGAGTCTTTGCCTTCTCCTCTTTCTCAAAATAGATAAAATAATCTGACATTAACATGGGTTCCATCTTCAACTGGGAACCAAGGAGAAGGGTGGCTTGGGATCCATCTCAGCATTTACTGTTTGTCTAATCTTGGGCAAATAACTTCCTCCTTACATGTCCTGATCTGTAAAACAAATATACCTAAGATGTCCTTCCATCTGAAAAATTCTCTTTTTCTCAGATTGCTTTCATCCTCAGGGACTCACATGCAAGATCAAACAAATATTTCATGACAACTCTATGAAGGTTTAGCACTCAAGGGCAGAATCCCCAAATATCATCTATTTCCGATTACACTTCACATGTGTGCACGCGCGCACACACACACACACACACAACAGCTGTTACAATTAAAATCTGGACAAGAAAAACTTAACCCCGAGCTGCTGCCGTAAGCAAGGATTTCACACATTCATACCTTCTGCACAAAGCCCAATGCTTCTGGGATGAAACAACATTTAGCATGATCTCTAATGACCATAAAATTGAGTTTCAAGATGTGGCTTGATTGTGCAACACTGACGAGCTGGCAGACTGAAGGGGAGCATTTTTCAAAGTCTTTGGTAGGCCAAGACCTAAATTTGAGGTCTTTCTCTCCAGCAACAGCTAGCAGTGTCACTAACACCTAAAAAAGAATGCAAGCATCTGCAGGCAGTCACCGCGTGGCTTCCTGTGTCAGCTATCGTTACAGAAGAAACACAGACCCAGATCCAGGGTCTTTGCATTCTTGCCAGGAAATGATTTTCAACTACTTTGTTTTAACACCTTCGCCACTGAATTTTTTGTAACTACAGCTCAACTCAGGGGCTAAAATACACCTATTCATTCATGCCTTTGTAAATCTACATGTGTTTATAATTTGGAATTGCTATGTAAAAACACACTTTTCTATTTATCTTCAAGTCAAGCAGCTGGGGCCATCTGAATGGATTGGCTTCTCAACACCAGGCCATTAAGACACACAGGCATGGGTTCCGGGCATGGAAAACCCTCTGGCCACACTTCTCAGATCTCTACGGCCGCTGCTACTGCAGACTTCATCAACAGATGGTCAGTGGCCTGTCAACTCCTCAACAAAGTATAAACCAACCTAAAAGTCTTTAAAAGGATACTCTGTCGCCCTTTACTGACTGTCATGGATATCAGAAAGAAGAAAATGTTGTGTGAAAACACCCTCCCAAAAAAGCCTTCATCTCTATTAACCCAAGATGGCCATCTTCAGATCTACTACTTATTTGAGGTTCCCCCCCAAAAACCAGAATTAATTTTTTTTAATCCCCAATGTTTTATAATGAAAAATTTCAAAACTACCAGAAAGTAGCAAGAATAGTACCAAGACACTTGTATATCCTTTATCTAGATCCAAAATTTTGTCACATTTCCTTCCTTCCTCTGTTATTCCTTCCTTTCTTCTTTCATATATATTTCTACCTCCACATGTATATAAAATTTTACATTATATGTACAGACTTATTTTTGCTGAACGTTTTGAGGATAAGTTGTACACATCGTTGCATTTCATCTGTAAGTACTCCAGCATATATACCTCCTAAGATCAAGACTATTCCCATATATACACAAGACAGTTATTACATGCAGAAAATTCAACACTGAAATATTCAATTTGTACTCAAATTCCAATTGTCCCAATAATGTCTATTTTAGTTTCTTTGTCCCAGTCAAAGATCATACACTGCATTGGGCTGTCATATCTTCATAGTCACCTTTAATCCACAACAGTTTTCCAGCCTTTTGCTGATGGGGGAAGTATCTTTAATGACACGGACAATGTTAAAGAGTACAGGCCAGCTGTTTTGCAGTACGTCCCTGAATTTGGACCTGGATTGTTTCCTCAGAATAATGGCTTCTTAGTGCATTGCTAGGACACCTTATGTCCTTTGGACCCATTATAGGTATTGGTAAGTTTGATCATGGGCAATTAATTACTTAAAGCCACAGTGTCTTAACATGAATATTAAACAATTTATAGGCCTTTACTTTCAAACTTTTAACAACAGTTGTTCAAAATATTACTCCCCAAAGTATATTTCACCAGAGCTGATTTTTATCTCTCTCATGTATTAACTCTTTTTCTCCTATACCAGGGGCCTTCCTTGACCCTCTGCTGCACGTTTTGTTCCTATAACATTAAAACCCAGAGCTCCAAAGTCAGGGGATGCCACAGGCTTGGGGCCAAACACATATTTTTCAAGATCATTAAGACCATGGCTTTAACATCTGGAAGAAATGGATTACATAAAAAGTTTTTTAAAAACTAATATATGTTCACATTAACATATATGATATATATATAATACCTATATATTGGTCGATCATTTATTTTATAAAATTATTCAAATCCATTTCTTCCAAATTTATCTATCTATCTATGTATTAACTTGCTTGGATACATAATCCTGACAAAGAAAATTGGAAGAATTTTGAATGATTAGTCACCAGCTCACTACCAGCCAATATGGGAAATAAAATGCATCCATAGAAATAGCAATTCTTAAAATAAAGAGAACATTCACTTCCTCCAACTTACTAAAAAACACGTTCCTTCCTACCAGAACCCCTATGGTTCTCAATCACAATTGATTTTTTGTCACATCTAATTTCAATTAGTCATCGTGATATGACTTAGAAACTTTTTAACAACAATCAGTAAGGTCTACATAAGATGCCACCTAAATTCTCGACATGATTTTCATTGTTTTCTGCAATACCACATGTACAGAAGGCGGTCACAATGTAAATGATCAGTTAGTCATCACCAGGCCACAAACATCCTCTGCTTTGTGTGTCGTGTGTGTGTGTACATGTGTATGCACAGGTGTGTGTGCACATATGCAAGTTCCCTCCAGAACCATGATTTAGTTGTCTTCCTGATCTTCTACCTTTTTCTTTTTTCCGTACAAAAGGCACAGAACATTAAACAATTAAGACAATTAAAATTAGTTGTCAAGAATTATAAAACATCAATGCATGGAAAAAACCTCCCTGCTTCTGACCACATGTGAACACGTGAGTTCTAGAGATTTTTACATGGGCTGGTTCAAAGGGCAAAGGCTTTGCTTAAACAGTTCTCCAGATGACATTAGATCACCATAGTGCCCCATTATGTCTTTAGAATAGTTGGTCTACAAATGTGGTATTTAAACCCAAGTAGATTTTTAATATAGAAAACAGCAATTTACTCTGAAAGTACTGCTTTCTCCTAAAATTCTCTCTACCTTCTTTACCCTCCATTCCAGGGGAATGCAGTGAGGAACTGAAATGAAAAAAGTGTAATTAAAATCACGTTTCTCCCCTGGGGTCAACCTAATTATCAGCCTCTCACTCCAAAACAAATTTACCTCCTTAAGAATGAAGGTCCTTATCACTCATGGGAAAAATACAAACAAAGATTAAGATGCCATTTAGGCAACACTGCAATCTTTCATTTTTAAGTGACCTCTTAGTTTAATGGATTCAATGCATTCTCATTCAAGTGGGATATATATTGCGGGAGAAAACTGTAATAAATGGTACTGTCATGACCCTTAGGTTAGAGCAAAGGAATATTGGAAAATAAATCTCAATTTTGGATACTCACCAATCCTGCAATGGGGGTAGGCAATCTATTGATCTTTTTAACAAGTCCTGGCTTTATAGCATTCAGCAACCTGTCATGAAAAAGGCAGAATGTCAAGTGAGACGTAAAGCAAGATGGATCACACAAATCACCTTATCCGGGACTACAGCTAAATTGCTGAATAGGAAAAGCAGTAAATTTAAAACATGTAGTAAATCTCAATAATCTATCAGCCTTTGGGTGTATAAGTGAAGAACTTTGCCAATATCAGGTCTGTCCATGGCAGGTGAAGTTTTAGAATTAGGAAATGTTGGGAGAGAAGAAAGGGTAGAGACTGGGAGCTGCTTCAAGGGAAAGGACAAAGATGGGAGCTGGATTAGGGTTGGAAGGGAATTGTCTAGAATTGGAGCCAGGTATTACAATGAAGATAAGGCTTGTTGCCAATTCTGCTAAATCAGGGGTCCCTCCAGAGATACGCTAAGCTCAGAGACAACACCTATCTTTGCAAGCGATTTACCAAGACAAATTCTACCTCTAGACCCTATTTGCTCTTTGAGGAGAGTGGCTTGTTAAATGTGGTTGAGCTTCACTTAAAAAAGGGAAGACTATGTTTAGCAAGAGGTTAACCAATCATATCCTAAAGATTTTAAATAAGGCTGACCATGATTCCCTAGGTACAAAAGATATTTGAGCAAAATATTTTCAAGGTAAAGGTTGGAATCATGTAAAAATGGTATTACAAACAAGGGATGCATGAGAAACAACTATAACTGCTTGTCTTCAGGAAATATAAATTCAGAGTGAAAAGAAACAAGGAAGGCCACTCGGAAAACTAATAAATGGTTAGCATCAGTGTAATGGGGGACAGTGATTTGCAAAATATTTATAAAGGGATCATTAAAATGAAGGGGCTGAAGAAGAAAAGCATTTATTTCCACATTCAGGAATTACAGAGTCAATCAGGTATCTTGTCTCAAGATACTATGCAAAGATAAACATAGGGCAGGAGTTTATTAAAATTCAAGAGTCAGCAAATTATGACCCATGGGCCAAATCTGGCCCAACACCTGTTTTTGTAAATAAAGTTCTGAAACACAGCCATGCCCATTCATTTACATATTGTCTACAGCTACTTTTGTGCCACAACCGCAGAGTTGAGCAGTTACAATGGAGAACGTGTGGCCCCCAAAGCATACAATTTTTACTATTTGGCCCTTTACACAAAAACTTTGCTGACCTCTGTTAGAATTCATGCAATCCAAGACCACAGTAAATTCTGAAGGACCTATGCTTGATAGAGTTCTACAGGTCCGTAATAAAAATTATTTGAAATAGTTTAATAATTAGTCTTGAGTTTAGCATCTATTTGATTTTGACACCACTACATATGAATATATTGAGAAATGTCCCTACAGTGCTGTGACAGACAGGATATTCTGTTTTGGCACCAAAGACTAATTGCTTGCTCTTGGTAACGTTCACTGCAATTCCAACGTGCTGCCACCAACAGGTAATCTTCAGAGTGGCAGGGGCCTTTTTGCCCAGTGGAAGCCAAGATGGTTGCTCTTCTCATGAGTCCACTTAGTTTTCATCATGAGTTTAATCTTTTTTTAAAAAGTACTTCTTTGGAATTACTTACTTACTTTTGGACTTACTTTGGAATTATTGGTTTTTAAAGTTGGAAGGCAACTTATTCACTCTTCTCATTTAAAGTTCAGAAAACTGAGCCCTGGTGATGCTAATTTCTCCAAAGCTGATGAGCGGCCCCGCCTGAGACCTGTGCACTATCTCAGGTGGTGTTAATATCCAGTATCTTCTGGTTGAAAATGCACAGATCAGATGTCTCCAAAGCCAAGTTTTTAAATGTACAAAGTTCTTAACATACATCACTTTTCTCACAGTTCTTAACAGTGTCATTTTAAACTGATTTTTAAAATACTATTTGTGTATAGTGTTGGCAATTCGAAAGGAATCAAAAAGATAAACAGTAAAAAAAGGTGAGTCTTGCTGTCACCCCTGTACCACTGGGCCCCAGCCTGTTCCCTGAAGGCAATTTGAAAGACTTTCCAGAAAAAATTTTATAAAAAACACATATCATATTTTTTAAAAAGACAGGTGTAGCATACACACCTTTTTTCACTCAAAAATATATCTCGGGGGCCGGCCCGGTGGCGCACTGGATAGTGCGCCGCTTGGGAAGCGCGGCGGTGCTCCCGACCGAGGGTTCGGATCCCACATACAGACCGGTTCCCGCTCACTGGCTGAGCGAGGCGCGGGAGCAACACCAAGGGTTGCAATCCCGTTGCCGGTCCCCGGTCCGGTACGGGGGCAACACTGAGGGTTGCGATCCGTTGCCGGACACGGAAAAAAGACAAAAATATATATATATATATATCTCGGAGGTTAGACAATTGACCTTGGAGAGCACGCCTTACCAATGCACATGGAACTACGTCCTTTTTAAGAGTTGTGGACTACAGACTGATACGGAGCCAGCAGAGTGAGTGAGAGCACCGGCTCTGGAGTCCAACTGAATTCAAAGAACAGCTCAGCCGTTCACTAGAGGTGTTACTCTGGGCAGGTCCATTAGCCTCAGTTTCCTCAACTCTAACATGGAAATATAATGGTACCAATTGCATAGGTGCCAATGCAGCCTCAATGTGACGAAATATGTAAAAAGCCAGCACAGAGCCTGGCACATAATAGCTTCACTATAAATGTTTCTCTATGTGTGTAGTTATTTATAATAATTCAATTCACAGCATTTCAGATAGCTGCTTTCTCTAATAATTTTAGATTTCTCTAATGAAATACGATTGCTACCAGATACCTGAGCCTTATTGCTAATTAGTCAAAGTAGAAAAAAGAACAAAACACCTTACCCCAAAATTCATAATTTAAAATTTTTCTTTTAAAGAGGCACCCTTTTGTCTTCTATATTTAAGAACTATATTAATGTTTCTAGTAATGATGGCTCCACCAACTCCTCTTTTATATGTGTTTAGATTTTTTAAATGGTCTTAAATATTTCATTATATTCATTTTTTATAGAATTATATGGCAGAATCTCTCCTATCACATGAAGTTGTATAAATAAATAACACTTTAATGCTAGATGTTAATTAAAAGAACAACAAAAAACTATGAAATGAAATGTTTTACCATAAATTAAAAATAAAAAGCCATAGTGCTCTTAAATATTTGGAATATTTTCAAGATTGAGGCAGATGTATTATTTTTCATGTAAACATTTCCTTAATTCTGTACAGTTTACAGTACACATCGTTAAAAGACAACATTGAATTCACACTGTAGAAATGCCCAACACCCGCTTATCTTGTATCTTGCATTAAACTGAGTACTTTTTTCACATGTATTAAGAATCAGATGAGATGTTCAACAATGCAACTATGAGTCAGACTTAAAGATATTTACTTGCAATTTTATTAGAAACCACTATTGCCCTCCTATGTAAATTAAAATTTAAATAAATACTTATTGATGACATGCTTTAAAGTGATGATGTTGATGATGATATTTATACTCATTTACCTTCTGAGATGCATTATTCCCCCCAAAATCCTGCCCCTGTACAGACAGGTCACATATTTGTCCACCACTTTTGTAAAAGGAAAAATTCAGCCCCAAACAGAAGCAAAAACTTTCCTAGGGACATGCATAGCTAGTTTATAGCACGTCTGGGACAGTCTTCACCTCTAAGTCCAGTCACTTTATATCACAATTGGGTGCATTAGAAAGTCCAGCTTCATGCTCACTGGCTGAGCGAGGCACGGGAGCAACGCCGAGGGTTGCGATCCCGTTGCTGGTCCCAGTCCGGTACGGGGGCGACACTGAGGGTTGCGATCCGTTGCCGGATACGGAAAAAGACAAAAAGGAAAAAAAAAAAAAAAAGAAAGTCCAGCTTCAGTATGTGTCCTCAAAGCACAAAACAAAACAAAACAAAACAAAACAAAAAAACAAAATCAAAAACCCAAGCCCACACTCTCTAAATACAATAGGATAATATCAACACTAAGTGGGAATAAGAGGAAAATGGAAGAGAGTGTCTGTTGGAAAATCATTAAGTGTAAGACACATCAGGTCCAAGTTCTGTCTATGGACGGTCTACAACTTCCAGGAATTCCAGAGAAAAGGAGGCTGGCATTCACTGGCAGAAAACCTCCACTCAGCAGAGCTCTACGCAATTTCCTGCCTGTGGTCTATGCTTCCCACACTCTATAGCTAGAAGGCCTTAGCAGGTAGTTTTCCCTCCTTATCGGACAACAGGTCATCTTTGTATTCATCAAAAGATATTTCTGGAAAACTGGCATAATTCTACACTACAAAAATATTAGGCATTCGTACTGTTCCATTTTGTGCTAAATATACCTACAACTACAAACAAAAATTAAGAAAACAAAAAATATCAGAGACGTAAGAGCAAATTAGGAGGAATTATTTTCAGATATTTGTTCATCCAACAATTCTTCGTCAAGTGCTTGCTGTGTGCTGCACACTATTCTAGGCACAGGGAGGGCAACAGTGACCAAGACAAGCAAAGTTCTTGCTCTTTGGAATTTATCATCTTTGAGCAGGTGAGTGGGTGGGGCGGTGGGGGGAACAGAAAACAAACAAGTAAATAAATGAGAAGACAGTTTCAGATGGCGTGAGTGCGGGGAAGACCAGCATAGTAGCAGGTCATGCAGGTGGTACTTTAACTGGGTGGTCAGAAGGCTGCCCTGGGAGGTAACATTTGAGAAAAAAGCTGAATGATACGAAGGTATTAGCCAAGGAGAAATTTGAGGACAAGCATTCCAGGAAGACTGAATAATTAGCAGAAAGGCCTTGAGGCAGGAGAGGGCTTGGTATATTCAAGGGACAACAAAAAGGCCCATGTAGCTAAGCAGAGTGAGTACAAGGAAGAGATCTATGACATAAAGGCCAAGGTGTAAGCAAAATCCAGGCTCAGGTAAGGTGTCTAGATTCCTTTCTAAGAAGATTTTTAAGACAGAGACTGAGATGATCTGATAAATATTTTTAAAACATCACCATATGCAAATAGATATGAAAATAAATTAATAATTATATGCA